GCCTCATATAGATGTTGAACAGCATTGGGGAGATAATTGACCCCTGTGGAAACCCACATTTGAGGCTCCATGGGGCCGAAACATTCTCCCCAAGTTGGACTCTCTGGGGGCGGTCCTCCAAGAAGGAACAGAACCAGGCCAGAGCCCAGCCTCCGATACCCAGCTCAGAAAGCCTCCCCAGGAGGATACCATGGTCGACGGTATCGAAGGCCGCTGAGATGTCGAGGAGGACCAACAGAGACGTCTTACCGCTGTGGGCCTCCCTCAACAAGTCATCGTACAGGGCGACCAATGCCGTCTCTGTGCCATGGCGCGGCCTGAAGGCCGACTGAAATGGATCCAGGGCCAGCCTCCGATACCCAGCTCAGAAAGCCTCCCCAGGAGGATACCATGGTCGACGGTATCGAAGGCCGCTGAGATGTCGAGGAGGACCAACAGAGACGTCTTACCGCTGTGGGCCTCCCTCAACAAGTCATCGTACAGGGCGACCAATGCCGTCTCTGTGCCATGGCGCGGCCTGAAGGCCGACTGAAATGGATCCAGGGCATCTGTTTCCTTCAAGTGTGCATGAAATTGATCAGCCACCACCCTCTCGACCACTTTGCTCAGGAAAGAAACGTTGGCAACGGGCCTATAAGTGCCAATTTCGTCCGCCGCCAAACTAGGTTTCTTTCTTATGGGCCTAATGAATGTCTCCTTAAGGGCAGAAGGAAATCTGCCCTCAAAGACAGACCCATTTATTATTGCGGTGGCCCACTCTGTTGTTATCGGCCTGGCTGCTTTGATTAGCCAGGCCGGGCAAGGGTCCAAAGAGGAGGTGGTGGCTCGACAGCGACCAAGCACCCTGGCCACAGAGTCAGGCGTTACAGGCTGAAAGGTATCAAAAGTTACTGGACAAGGCGGAGTGCTGGACATCTCTGCATTTTCTGAAAGAGATGTGCTGTTTACAGGATTTGTTAGTTCTAGAAAACATATTGACTCTCCAGAGTAGCTTTTGAGGCATCAAGAGGAAGAGAGGTGTCAAAAGAGCATAGAACCGTTATTTGTCAACCCCTGTCCTATGATGAGAAGTGCTTTCATGAAACAAACATGTTTTTGGATCTAAGCTAACAAATATCAATATCAGTTTTATTTTTTTCTACATTAATTGCAAGAAATGTTACTAGAATAAAAGGCCACAAATACTGAAGATTTCGGCCAAAATGAAGACCATGAGCAATAACTGTGTACAAGATTACAGAGCTGCCATAAATAGTCCAAAATATGTAATACATTTACCATCCTTGATTCAGCCATTTCCTTTTCTCTCTCTCTCAGGTCTTGAATATTTGGATATTTTGCACCACTGCAAAAAACAAAACAAAAAACAAACAAAAAACCCATTATATAGCCAATTTATGTCCAAATATATTAATTCAATCTCATAATCTTTTACAACAAGGCCAGATAGTCCAGTATCAGGGATGTACACAGCAAAAACATTCATGTTTATATCATTTTGTGTTCTTTTGGAGTTGCCTCTTTTGTTTTTCATGTTTTTTTGCATGAAAAAACATGGAAAACATGAAAGGGACCACCTTTTCCAAGTCATTTCATTTCATGTTTCCCCATTCATGTTTTCTGATGCCGGTCCCAAAACATGGAAAAAAAGAGAGAATAACTTAAGGGAAAAAAAGGCGCTAGCAAAAAGCAGAGGCAAGGCAACACAGACTCAATCAACTCCAAAACCAGGCAACTATAGAAAAAGAAGTTACCTGTAACTCTGGTTCTTAAAGTGGTCCTCTGTGAATTCACACTAATGGGTTAATCTGCGCCTGAGCAGAGCAGCTTCGGAAGCTTCTATAGTTTAAGTACTTGGTGCCAGGACCGCCCACCTAGTCTATATCACTGCCCCTGGCACCCAGTGCCTCAATTCCATAGAACTGTCCGCCGCTGTACAGTATAACAACAGGTAGTCATGACATACAGCGGGGGGGGGGGGGATGTGTGAATTCACAGAGGCCCACTCAAAGAACCGGAGTTACAAGTAAGTAACTTCTTTTTCTCCTTCGTGGCCTCTGTGAATGCACACTAATGGGTGACTAGCAAGCTGACTTACCAGGAAGGTGGGCATCATGACAGAACAGAAGCCAGTACAGCTCTTCCCACAGCAGCCTCTGCATTGGCCTGTACACTGAGGCGGCAGTGTGCTGCAAAGGTGAAGGGCGTAGACCAGATCGCAGCCTTGCAGACATCGGTGAGGTCAACACCCCGAAGGAAAGCTGTGGAAGAAGCAACTGCTCTGGTCAAGTGGGTTCATCAAGCTTATTTAAAGGTAAGATTGTAGAAAATCTAGGGAGGGAGGGTGGGTGCATGTGTGTGTGAGAGAGACTGACTTCCTGGGACTAGATGACTGAAGTGTGTAGCAATTGCATTTTTCTATTTCTCATCCTCAAAGCAGGCAAGAGTATCATAGTTTATTCCCCAAATCAGAATCTCTTGTCTCTCTGCTCCTGGTCCTGCTTTGACTCCAACACCAAACAAAAGGTCTTACAAGCAAAGACTGTGGCTTTCTTTATTGAGTCAATCCATCTCACGTGCATCCTATTTCCCTACTGTATAGCATTTTTTCCTGCATTGCTGCCTTTTCCATTGAGCTTGTCTTCTCATGATGCCATTGTACGCTTTGTTTGCTTATTTTAGCTTCTAGTGGGAGTCCATACTTAGTTTGCTTTCCTTATCTCTCTGACAAGTCATTCTATCTGTAAAACTGTTTTCCAACACTACATTTCAAGTAAGTGAAATGTTTGTATACACTTTATGTAGTGTATAAAATGTGTATTAAAAGTCTGCACCTCTATGTATAGCAGGTTTTCTGAGGATGGTTTACTTTGGAGGAAACAAGTCCAGGATTTCAATGTACTTAATAAGCTTTATAAATGTTGTAGTTTAGTTGTTAAGTCGTGTCCTACTCTTCGTGACCCCATGGACCAGAGCACGCCATGCCCTCCTGTCTTCCGCTGCCTCCCAGAGTTTGGTCAAATTCATGTTGTAGCTTCGGTGACACTGTCCAAACATCTCATCCTCTGCTGTCCCCTTCTCCTCTTGCCTTCACACTTTCCCAACATCAGGGTCTTTTCCAGGGAGTTTTCTCTTCTCATGAGAGGGCCAAAGTATTGGATCTATCCTTCCAGTGAGCACTCAGGGTTGATTTCCTTCAGAATGAATAGGTTTGTTCTTCTTGCAGTCCAGCACCACAATTCAAAAGCATAAATTCTTCGGCAGTCAGCCTTCTTTATGGTCCAGCTCTCACTTCCATACATCACTACTGGAAAAACCATAGCTTTGACTATGCAGACCTTTGTCGGCGAGGTGATATATCTTATTTTTAAGATGCTGTCTAGGTTTCTGATTACTTTCCTCCCAAGAAGCCGGTGTCTTTTAATTTTGTGTCTGCTGTCACCATCTGCAGTGATTATGGAGCCCAAGAAGGTAAAATATGTCTCTGCCTCCATATCTTCTCCTTTTATTTGCCAGGACGTGATGGGACCAGTGGCCACAATCTTAGTTTTTTTTTGATGTTGAGCTTCAGACCATTTTTTGCGCTCTCCTCTTTCATCCTCATTATGAGGTTCTTTATTTCCTCCTCACTTTCTGCCATGAGAGTGGGATCATCTGCATATCTGAGGTTGTTGATATTTCTTCTGGCAATATTAATTTTGGCTTTGGATTCATCCCGTCCAGCCTTTCGCATGATGTATTCTGCATATAAGTTAAATAAGCCAGGGGACAATATACAGCTTTGTTGTACTCCTTTCCCAATTTTGAACCAATCAGTTGTTCCATATCCAGTTCTAACTCTTGCTTCCTATCCCACATATAGATTTCTCAGGAGATAGATAAGGTGGTCAGGCACTCCCATTTCTTTAAGGAGAAAGAAACTTGCCATAGTTTGTTGTGGCCCACACAGTCAAAGGCTTTGGCGTAGTCAATGAAGCAGAAGTAGATGTTTTTCTGGAACTCTCTAGCTTTGGGATTGGGATGTAGACTGATCTTTTTCAATTACTGTATCTGGCCACTGCTGAGTTTTCCATGTCACTTAGGGTGGGTGACATGACCTTTAGCCTGGTTTGTTCCTTTTAGCACACCACACACAGAATGATGAAAGTGGTAGGAAACACACACCCAACTTGGAAGTCTCTAGCAAACACCCCATTGCTAGCACCACTCTGGCAGCCACTGATGATGATTAAATCATCTGCGAGGTAGCAAAAAATGTAATGCAACTTGCTAGGCACGTTGGACACCTTAGAACTCCCTGTACCACCCCATGGCTAGTGTGCACTGCGTTCCAGGAAAAATAGTGCACATTTTTATTAAATCTGGTGCATCCTGCTAGTTCACTATACAGCCTGTGCAGATTAAATAAGATTTTGAATTCAAATAACGTATCATTTCCTTCCTTTCAAATCAAGGGTGTAATGTCGGTGTATATAAAAAATTTTTTTGGGGGGGTAAAAGGTAAAAAAATTCCCTGACCCCTGCTTTAGAGTGTCCTTGAAATGACACAAATAGTCTTTGAGAAGAACGAAAGGACTCAGTCCTGGAAATGTAGTAGGCCAAAGCCCTTTTGACATCCAGGGAATGGAGTGATATTTCCAAATTAGTTGTAGGGTTCGGAAAAAAGGTAGCTAAGACCACTGGCTGATTTAGGTGGAAAGATGTTGCCACCTTTGGGAGAAAGGAGACATCTGGAAACAGAGTGATTTTGTCAGGGTGAAACTGTATAAAAGGTGGGTCCACCTGCAGCATCGTGAGTTCACTCACATGCCTTGTCGAAGTGACAGCGAGTAGAAAGGCTGTCTTGAAGGTAAGTAGTCTCAGTGACGTGGAAGGGAGAGGCTTGAATGGAGGAGATATCAACTTATGGAGAACCAGCTGAAGAGACCAGTGTGGCATGGGTGGCTTGTATGCCGGACGCATCTTGGGGAGACCCTTCAGGAACTGTTTCAACATTGGATGTTGAAACAACTTGGCTGCATAAGAAAGAGCGGCTGATAAGCAACTATTGCGGAAATGTAGACTTTAAGCATAATATGATAACCCACGCTGGAAAAGAAGGAGGAGAAACTTCAGAAGAGTGTCCAGTGCTGTAGGGCACATAGGTAAGTTGTGTCTGGCAGCAAAGTCAAAGAGAGATGTTCACTTTCGCAAAGGTAGCCAGAGTAGAAGATCTACAGGCACGGCTAAGGACATCCTCTATCAAAGGTCCAGCCTCCAAGCTGTGAGATGCAGGGAATTCAGATGGAGTGTCCTGCTATTGTGGAGGGAGAGCAGATGAGGGAGGTTCGGGAGTCGAAAGTGATCCACGGCCAACTGAAGTGGGAGGGGCAAACCAGGCTTGGCGAGGCCACCAGGGAGTGATGAAGATGGCATTCACCCCGTCCTGGCGGATCTTGATGATCACCTTCTGGATCAGAGGGATGGGAGGAAACATGTACAGTAGACCTTCTGTCCAAGGGACCATGAACGCATCCCTCTCTGAGAAGCTCCCTGCTGCACCCCGGGAACAGTACCTGACACATTTGCTGTTCGTAGCAGAAGCAAACACATCCAGGCATGGGGTGCCCCACCTCTGGCAGAGGGAGTGGAAGACTGTATCATCCAGAGACCACTTGTGAGTGCAGTTCTGGGATCGACTCAGACAATCTGCAAGGAGGTTGTCGGTGGAAGCTACACGTACCACAATCAGGAAGATGTGGCATTCGTAGCACCACTCCCAGACTTGGATTGTGAGATGCAGAAGCCGTTGGGAGTGTGTACCTCCTTGCTTGTTCAGATAACACATGACTGTGATGTTGTCGGATGCCAACTGTGCCACTTTCCCCGTGAGGAGATGCTCGAATGCCTGAAGAGCCTTGAAAACAGCCAAGAGTTCCAGAACATTGATGTGAAGACAGGCTTCTTCTGGAGTCCAGTGACCATTTGCTGTCAAATCCAGGACGTGTGCTGGCATCTGTGGTGAGCTGGATTGATGGCTGCAGAGGGCCGAAGGGTTTGCCCCCAAGGAGATTCGAGTGGAGGAATCACCAGGTCAGCTGCTCTGCCAGCTCCTCTGAAAGTGTAAGAGTCTTGGAGGGTTGATCAATGAGAGGGTTGAACAACACCAGGTACCATGCCTGAAGGGAACGCATCTTCAGCCTGGCATATTGAATGACTGCCATGGTGGAGGCAATGAGGCCTAACAGCTGCTGAACCAACAAAGCTTGGACTCTTGCCCCTGCAGTGAAGTGAGGAAGCAGCTCCTATATCTTCAGAATGCGGCTTTCTGGAATGAAGGCACGGCCTGAGACTGCTTCCAGGACACCCCTGATGTAGGTTAAATTCTGGGTGGGAGTCAGAGTGGACTTTTCTTGGTTGACCTGTAAACCAAGTTCAGAGAGGAACGACAGAGTAAAGGTTACATGCTGTGACAAAACTTCAGGAAATGACCCTACTAGCAACCAATCATCAAGTTAGGGGAAGACTGTGATGCCCTGCAAACGCTGGTAAGCAGCCACCAGAGCCAGACACTTCGTAAACACTCTTGGTGAGGTAGACAACCCGAATGGGAGAGCCTTGAACTCATATATTACACCATCCAGTGAGAAGCGAAGAAATCGATGGTACTCAGGATGGATACTGATGTGAACGTACATGACCTTGAGGTCAACAAGAACAAACCAGTCTCCCTGTTTGAACATCTGGATAGTACCATTGAGGGAGACCATGCAAAAACCTTAAGGCGTAATGTAAAAATTCAAGGCTCTGAGATCAAGGATAGGTCGAAGTCCACCATCTTTCTTAGGTATAATAAAGTAGTGCGAGAAAAGACTGCTTGAGATGTCAGGATTTTCCACCAAGACAATGGCATCCTTAGAGAGTAGCTTGTCTACCTCCTCACACAAAACAGGTGAACTGTCTGTATTTCTAATGAAACCTGTGCAAGGTGTGGAGTCGAACTCAATTGCATAACCAGTGGCAATTATGGTGAGAACCCAAGAGTCAGAGGTGACTGACCTCCAGGCATCAAAAAATTATTGGGCTAGTCTAATGAATCAATGGTGAATCTTCCTATGAATCAACGGTGCCAGCAGCCGCAGAAGGCTAAACCGACTGCTTGTCCTTACGGTCCTGGCAATGAATTTGCTGGCGTTGCCTCTGCCTACCAGCCTGTTGTCGGGACTGACCTTGACGTCACCTGTTGTGATCTGAAGTGGTTGTAGTACGGTCTTGAAGAATAGGAATGCCTCCAGGAGCCCCGAGATGCTGGTTGGGAGGAGAAGGACTTGGCTGTCTTTCTATGTTTCAGAAGACTTTCAAGGATCTCATCCATTTTGGGGTTGAAGAGGCCCAAACCATCGAACAGGAGATCTTCATTTCTACTCCTCACATCCTCAGCAATGGATGCAGATCTTAACGAAGTGTGTCTACATAGTGCAATCGCAGAAGCCAGTTGCTTTGAAGAGGCATCCACCACATGCCTGGCTGCAACCCTCTCCTGGCGTGCCAGCGACATGGCCTCCTGATGATTAGCTAGACAGGCTGCTTTGATATCTTCTGGTGCCGCATGCAATGCAGGGAGAACTGCATTTCACAGGTGCCTGTGATAGGCACCCATGGCCGCCAGGTAATTTGCTACTCTCAGGACAAAGGTAGCAAGTGTATAGGACCTGCGCCCCAACAAGTCCAGTTTCTATCCTTCCTTATCTAAAGGAGAGGCTGAATACCTAGTATGAGAGCAATATTGCGTAGCATCCACCACCAGTGAATTTGGAAGTGGATGCTTTGCAAGAAACTCTGTACCTCCACCATGGATCTTATATAAGTTCTCAACTCTTCTCGGAATCTGTTGGGAAGTGGAGGGTTTATCCCAAGATTCTTTGGCCAAACTCAAAAGTGAAGGGATAAAGGCCAACTTCAGTGGGGCCAACTGGTCTTTGCTGATGTCGTCATACACCTTGCCCATCTGCTGTAGCTCTGGCTGAACTACAGCCAAATCCAGAACCTCGGCTATGTGCTCAATAAGCTGCGCATAGGACGTATAGTCTTCAGAAGAAGATGGAGGGTGACTCCCGATGGTCGCCGAAGCTGAGGTGGCAGCATCAATTGGTGATTCACCCCTGATCTCACTCTCATCTTCACTAGATTCCAAGTCGGGCTTGGCCTCGCGGTCCGATGTTGGTGATTGACCCTGAGGGAACTCCAATTCTGACTCAAAGTTCAGAAGATCCTCAAGAAAGTCCTTCTGTCGAGCTCAAGGTGGAATGGGAGAGGCAGCTCTGTATAAAGCTTGTTCTATTAGGCGTCAATGCTCCTGTGTCGGGTCCAATGTTAAATGACCAGACATGACTGACCTAGGCTGTTCCCTTGCCGGAGGTCGAGAAGGGGGTCCAGCCGGATGGTGAAAGCAAGAGCCCGCGTACAGCTGGAACCTTTGAAACTGCTCGCAGAACAATTGCCACTGTTTAAAAGCAAAGAATGTGGCAGGCTCGAACAGCAAAAAGGCAGGCTGTTGAGGCCGAAGGTCCTCAGCGGGAAACCACGGGAATCTTCCCATGAAGGCACCTCCGGGTGAGCTCGAACAGGTTTGGGCTCGAGGTGCCTGGTTTTCCTCTTCTTCTTCTTCTGCAGCAGCACAACAGGCACCGGCGAAACAGGGACCAGGGTTTCTGATCTGGGGGGTGGAGAATCCCGCGGTGAGCCAGAGATCTGGCTAGGATGAGGAAAGAGGGGCGCCACCATCCTGGACAGAGGAATCACCTCATCCTCCAAAGCCTCGAGCTTGATGGGCTCGGATAAAAGTGCCGGTGTCACTGGAACCACTGGGGGCGCAGGCCTCTTCTTTTTCTTAGACTGGCTCGGGCTCAAGGAAGGCTTTGCCACTGCAGCGGAGGCTATCGACCTCGAGGATGACGATATTCCGGTCTCTTGGGCTGCGGTGGAGAGCACCCGGAAACAGAGGAAGCCTCAGACAGCAGTGGTCTTAGGGGGCCCATGGCAGGCGGCTCAAGGGACTTTGACCACAAGAACGGCATCAGCCTGTCTGGCCTGCGCTTCAGGGCAGGCTTGGTAAAGGCCCTGTAGTGAACGCATGAGGCCAGCTGATGCCCCTCCCCCAAACAAAACAGGCACTTCGAATGGCTGTCTTTGGAAGGATCTTTCGAGTTGCAGGCCATGCAGTGCTTGAACGGTATTTTAGAGGCCATACATGCCTCAAAACTCAGTTTTATGCTTTAATTCCAACTCACAAGACAAAAGAGCTAACATTCCGGTCTGAAAATCAAACGAGGGAGGTCCAGTCCGAACTTTTTAAGGGAACAAGCGAGACAAGAGACACTCTGAACGATGCTGCTACAGTGGCCACAGGAAATGGAACTGAGGCACTGGGTGCCAGGGGCAGAGATATAGCCTAGGTGTGAGGTCCTGTCACCAAGTACTTAAAGTTATAGACGCTTCCGAGGCTGCTCTGCTCAGGCACAGATTAACCCATTAGTGTGCATTCATAGAGGCCACGAAGGAGAACCAACCACCACTACCAAACAGTCCAAATAACAAACTAAAAAATATACACTTTTAACAGAATAAATACACAGTAAATTAGCCTATTAGCAATTTTTTAAAAATCAAATGGAGAAAGCATGGAGAAAATAACAAGATAAAGAGCACACATATAGACCACTCTCCCAAAACCCAATAAAAGCAAGCAAGCCAACAGAGACAAAAAGAACAAAGCCTCTCCCAAACCCAAATGACTAGAATATGGAGATTGTCACCCCATTGTTTCCCTTCTTCTCTTTGAGTCCATTGTAGCAGTAGACAGCAGCAAAAATAATCCCCATAGACACTGAGAAAAATCCCCCCCAAGAAAACAAAAAGAGGAAAGGATCCAGCTTGCACAGAAAAGCAGGCGCTTGCCAGGTAGGAAAACACCACAAGATGGAAGGTGCCAGGAGCCTGAATGAAGCAAAACCAAGAGAGAGTTGTAATAGAACTTTTTTTGGTGGGCTCCACCAATCCAGGCCCATTTACAGTTTCAAAATTCCCAATCACCCCCATCCTGAATATTCTGATTGGTTGTTGACAGCAGCCCTTAAAAGGCTGTTGGCTGAAACATTTCCTGGGTGACGTGGCAGGCAAAGGGAGAAAGGTTACCCAAAAGAGGGAAACACAAAAGAACACAATTTGCCTGTGAGGCAGGGCAGTGTGTGCACAGTGCTATGTTCCTAGTTATTCACACTGTGCTCCTTTGTATACTTTGTAAATGCTGGTTTGTGGGTCAGCCCTGCTGGAGTGATAGTAGCTTGTCACCTAAAAGAACAAAGCCAAAGCTGTAAAGCGGAACAGTCCCTCTAGTAACTGAGCCATATTCTTTGCCTCCATTGATTCTTCTTTGAAAACTGTTGACATATAGAAAAAGCTATGTCATGTCCTTGAAGGTCTTGAATATCTGGATATTTTGTACCACTGCCAGAAATCCATTTATACAGCTCATTTATGTCCAAAGATATTAAAGGAATCTCATAATCTTTTATAACACACCTTTCAGATAGGCCAGTATTAGGGATGTTTGAAAAGCCACTTGTGGTATGGGGAGGCTTTGTACGAATCGCTGGTGTTTTAAATTCTGTGCTGTAATTCTGTAGAACAAGACTTCTCTTGAGTTAGTACTGTGAGAGCCATCTTATTGCATAACATTGTTTTGTACCTTGTCCTCCTTCCTCTTCTGGCTTCCTCAAGTTGGCTCTGCAGATTTCTGTTATTTTCCATTAATACCTGCATTTCCAGACGAGTGTTTTCCAGTTTGCACAGCTGAGTCTAGACAAAAGAAGAGAGTATTATCTCACTGATTTACAAACAAGCATTTCAAAACTGTTCTGCAAGTAGTCTTGGTTAAACTTGCAAGCTTTTGTGCAAAACGTATTTATTTCAAATATTTATCTCCCACCTTTCTCCTAAAAAGGACCTAAGGCAACTTACAGTATTAAAAATATTAAAAGTTTACAAATCAGATTATAACAATATTTAAAAAGAATTGACCAAATATAATATTAAAACAGGAGATAAAACAGTACTAAAAACAACAAAAGCAACAAAAATGTGCCAAAATCTTTTTCGGGGGTTTAAAAGAATTGATGTGAAACCAATTTATTATCAAATGTTTGCCCAATGGACTTGCTTGTTTCTTCTTCGTCTCCCCACTTATTTAAAAATTTCAAACAAGATGAGAAAAATCATATTTTAAAATGGCAGCAAACAGACACTATAGTAACCTCCAAATGATGAAACTAGATATACAAACTGCCTGAATCATTTACCTTTAGTCTTAGAATTTCATTATTTTTAGCATCTCTTTCTTCATTTAACTCTGATACAAGATGTTCCAAAGTAAATACAGATGCTCTTTGATCTGCTATCTCCTGTTCGTGTGTCTCCAGCAGCTTTGCGAGATTTTTGTCAAAATTGGGTGGAGTTTGGGGAGTCTATTAAGCAAACATAGAAAAATACAAATAGCTGAACAGGACATTGCTTTGAATCTCTCTCAGTTAGTCTTTAAGGTACGACCATTTGTTGTTGTCTTTTTTATTTTTATTTTTGTTTTGCTTCTTGTCTGATCTTTCACAGACCAACAAATCTATTGCTTGGAATACTTAAGCATGTACTTAAGCATGTGATGGAAGCAACTGTATTATAAAGCAATGAACTTTAAAAAAAAATACCTGTGGAAGTGCTACAGCAGAGGATTCCATGACACAGTCTATTTGACGCATTTTAGATTCATATTCAGTTCTCTTGTTTTCCAATTCTTCTGTCTTTTTCTTCAGCTATATAAAATGTCAACAGATTAAAAGGGCAACAGTCAATTGCCAGAACATAGCCTAGGCTAGTGCTTTGCACTCACAAAATGTATAAACAGATGAACTTGGATTAAATTATTCTTCCAGCTGATTATTTCCTATCTTGAAAGTCTTCTGCCTAACTTCTTGTGACAGTTAAAGCTATATACATTTATACTCTAGCTGTGGATCTGGTATTATGTACTGTATTTTTGTCTCTATTCAAGCAGTCCATACCACGATGCCAGGTTACTATTGTTGGGGATGTGGTGTGGAAGGATGAACCACACATTACCAAGCCAGTACAGCAAAGCTCTGCAAGCAGCATCAATCTCCATGTCTGTTACTTATTTTCTGTTTGCAATACATGGGCTGCCCTCATGTAGCACTGCTGAGAGAACTGCACTGCTTCAAATCCAGAGTAAGGGATCAGCAGGACACAAAGGAAAAAACAAACCTGTCTGCCAGTTTAGTAGTCAATTGAACAGGAAAGGGTGCAAAGAACACTCTCATTTCTCTCTCTCATGTACCCTCACTTTTAATGTCATTAAAAATGTATACATATTCCTAAATCTCCATTCTGATATGCAACTGAAATGTGCATGTTATAAAAGCATGCTGATTCCAAAGATTGAAAGCAGCTGTTTGTTGTTTTGTGCCATTGTATTATAATGTCAATCCAATGAATTAATGATCTCCTATCACTGAGGTCCTAAGGAAAAGGTTACATCATTAACCGCCCTCCTCTGGTCCTGTAAACTAAAGGCCGTCGCTTCTTTCCTCCTTTATCAATTCCATCTCATGTTCATTCTTCCCTGCTGCTTTCATCTTTTCCTCACCGGGTCTTTTCCAGTGAGCCTTGCCTCCTCATTTGACTTCAATGTGAGTATGGTACTCTCCGTTTAGTCAGTTTAGCTTTTTGCAGTAGATCAGACTTTGATCTAGAATTCATCTGTCTTTCCTGCATTGCTGCCATCAGTATGAATTATCCTGGTCTCTGACAACACATCTCTACTATTAAGGATCTTTCATATTCCTTCATGGCTACGTTTCAAAGTCTCAGTCTTCTTCTGATGTTTTGGCTGCAGCAGTTACAACTATCCTCAAATAAAATGATGAGCAGAAAGTTTGGCTTTCACAAAAATGGAAGGGTGTCTAGCCCGTTGTTGTGGCATAAATTAGTGCACAAGGCCACACATCACAAGCATGTGTGTCTTAGTTGTTCAGTTAATGGTCCAGAAGAAGGTTCTCTACTTCCTTTATTGACAAAGAATAAAGGAACTATGCAAAAGAAGATACAGTAACCACATATAGGAAATTCTGGACACAACTTGAATTAGTGTTTTATCCACTGGCTAAAATCTTAGTGGATGTTGAGATATGTACGAGAGGAATCACAAAAGATGCTACAGCAATTGATAAGGTTTGCTAGGTGCATGTCAGATACATTCTAGGCAAGTGACTGGGTGCACTATCAGGCAAATTACTGACATACGAATAGCACCTCATCAATTAGCCAGAGCAACTTTAGCAACTTCAGCAATTGCTCTTGTATAAATAACTAATAGTATTTACAGTAAGTACGTAAGCAAACATATCACTAATTTGCTATAGATTCAATGTCAAACTATGGCTTTTCAGTACATGCACAAACATTGGTTCATGCACTCTCCCCCTCTTCTTCCATCATTATTATCAGGAACAGGAAAAAATGTTGCTTTCCCCCCAATTACTTGAAGTTTAGTGTTAGATCTAAACTATAAATTATAATTTACTGGAAACAAGCCAACTTCATAAACCATAGTTTGATGTTCACTACTTAAGACCAAACACAAACTGCCAAAATTCAGATATAACAATAAACAACTTACAATGGAAGTAAAAGCTACTGATTTTCTCACAATTGCACTGGAGAAGACAAGCAGGAGAAGCTGATAAGCCAAAGGTTCATTCACAGAACATCTGAATGCAGCCACTCTTATATTACAAAAGTACCCAATCTGGATCAGTATAAGATAATGAGACTCCTTTCTTTTCTACATGTAGAAGAAAATGTGAGAGCTATCTGCTTGCTGTAGCAATCAGCCCTACCCTCACAGCTGAACAGTGAAGAAGGGGCCTATGAGTGGACAGAAGGCGGAGCTAAGGGGGGAGGGGCCTGGATATAAAGACTGGTGTACGGAGTATGAGGAGAGATTCTGGTAGTGAGAGATAGTGTGAAACTTAAAAGTGAATTAAGAGTGAATTAGAGCTCTAGGAGAACAATGAATAGAATAGAGAGTTAAAAGAGGTTTATAATTATAGGGGTTTTGATTCAAATACTAGTTATTATCAACCTGTGATTTACTTGTTGAATATTTATCATATATTAACTTCCCTGATCTAATAAATGACTTACATTTTAAAAGCACACGTCTCCATGATTAAACGATATTAAAGCAGTAATACCTGGTGGCAGCAAAGAAAGAAGAGCGAGAACCTCGTGAAGGCCTGGGGGGAATAGGGGCTTCAGAGGAGATTGCCACACTTGCGACATCTGTCACTCTATTGATCACCAGGGTTGATTTAGCTCATCTGGCCGGCTAGGCAGGTACCTCTCTCTTCCATCAACAGTTTTCAAATGTTTCTCAGTGGTGATAATGTATTTACCTGTTCCTGAAGTTCCTGGATTAAGGCTTCCTTCCTAATTAGGTCTTCTTGTGCAGACTGAAGAAGTGCTGCATGGTTTTTAGAAGCTTCTGTTAAACTGTTTAACTGCTCAGAAGTGTGATGCAGTTCTTCACAAAGAATTTCCTTCTATGTAAACAAAACCCAGTAACAATAACAAATAGCTGAATCAGAGAGATAGCACGATCAGTACACATATGCACGTAGCCTTGACTGCCTTTCCTTTTTTCCTCAACTGCCTTTTTAAAAACAGCAGGGGCTATACAGTGTTTTAAATTCATATACTGCATTTCTAGGCAAAATGATTTTAAAGTACTGTATGTCATTTGTACAGTGGTGCCCTGCACCACGACAATAATCCGTTCCACTGAAATCGCTGTTAAGTGAAAACATTGTCCAGTGAAAACAGTTTCCCCATTGGAATGCATTGAAACCCATTTAATGCATTCCAATGTGGAAATTACCTCGTTGTCCAGTGAAGATTGCCCATAGGGAAAGCCATTTTCTGAGTGCTGATTAGCTGTTAAAATGCCTGCCCTGCGAAGCATGGGTCCGGAAAACACAGGGCAGCCATTTTGCGGAGCCGGAAAACATCGTCTTGCGAACAAACGGTTCACAAAGTACGGACTTAATCATTGTCAAACGAAAATCCCACATAGAAAACATCGTTAAAAAAGTTAAAAGAGTCACCGTCCTGCGGATTTGGCGTACAGCGGGGTCATCGTCTAGCGAGGTACCACTGTATTGTACATGGTTATTTATGTTTTCACACACATAGCCCCAATACAACTTAAAACAAGATGGAAATTAGAAAGGTTCAAGATTCTACCTTGTACATTAACATGAAGATTTAAAATTAAGCTGTAGATCTCTATCCTTTGATAACAGTATACTTTCCAGTGAATTTATGTAAGATACAGTCTCATTGGTATACAAAGAGAAATCTCTTAATGTTTTTTTATCCCATCTAAAGCCCTATTCATATGTAGTATGTATAAGGCTTTATTGATTTAGGAGTATACCTATGCTTTTAGACCCACTGTTTCTCTTTCATTTGCACAGGAATTCCAGAGTGTGAGCAGCTGTTTATACAACAAGAACACATGGCTCTCTGTGTGTCCAATCACCTTGGGGTTCCTAAGCACATAGACACATAAATGTTGAACACAGATGCAATACTTGTGGGTGGTGCTACAAGCACAATCCCATTCTTTACTGCAATAGAGTACGTATCTGCATGCAAATAATACAGAGGATGGGGTTTCATTTAACCAGGGCTTGTTTTTGGGTTAGGGCTTATATTACGAGCATCCTGAAAAATCATACTAGGGCTTTTTATCAGGTTAGGTCTTATTTTCGGGGAAACACGATATGAGCATGGAGCTTTTTTCTACTGACAACATCATACACATAGTTTCTCTTCCATGGGGAATAGTATATCCACAGTTAAAAATGTTATGATAATTGCTGTTAGAATGACACAAATGTCCTTGGAACTGAGGCTTGGTGAAAACCCTCTTGCTTCAAATGAGCTGGAACAGAAATTGATTGGGGAGGGGGCTACTTCTATGGCAAACACCAAGTACAGCATATTTTGCCTAGCATAGCCCTTGGGCAGACAAATAGAATAGCCTGTTACTTGGTAGCCTTCAAAATAGGGGGAGCAACAAGTGTCTAAGCAAAGGCCCAAATTCTACCAATGAAAGGGCACTAACCATAGAATAAGAGCAGGATTGCATTATATATTCCTTGGAGGGTCTACTAAGATAAAAAGGTGATTTTTATATAGGATTTATACACCTTGCATTTAGGGAAGGGTTATAGAATTTCCATTTCTAGCTAAATGGAATATGTTAGTCAGACTTCTAAACTAGATTTGTAAAATATGAAAGACATCATAAAAGTCATACCTCAATTTTATCAGCAGTTTGTGCTCTCTCCAAGGCCTCCCTCAATTCTTCAATTTGTCTTTTCTGGTCTTCTATAACTGATTTGCTTTCTTCTTTTGCAGCCAAACCTGAATTATATTTACACTAAGAAAGCAAGAATGTCAAGTTCTGACAAAAACACTTATACATCAGATCTCTTTGTATGTATAGATCAGTAGAAAAAACAATGCCACATTCAATTCTTCATACTTGGAAGAATGAAGAATAAGTGGTACAGTGGGGTCTCTACTTAAGAACTTAATCCATATTGGAAGGTGGTTCTATGGAGAATAAGTGGTATCTTGAAAAACACCAAAAGTAAGCCATTTCACAAAATGTGGTTGCCACAAAACAATATTATGATTTATAACTCAAATGATACCGTTTATAAACCAGATATTTGTCCTATTTTGCTACTAGATTTAAAAAAATACTTTTGGAAGACCTAAATTTTCACTCCAGCATATGCATTTCAAATACATCATTTTCCCCAGAAGAAAAGGATTTCTTGCTATTTCTGCTCAGTTAGTTCTCCCCAACAATTGCAACTGTTTCCTAATTGTTTAGTTTTTATACAGGGAAAGAAGGAAACAGAGATGCATGTAATTTACTCAAATTACTTCTGCTTCTTTGTCCTACTGTCTACCAGTACCAGTGTTGTTAGAGTGGATGACTCCCCATCTCATCACACATATGGGGAAAGAAGAGTGAGAGTGATCTTGTGCCAGTGCTCCAAGAAGAGGTGAATGGGAGTCTTTCACTCATACACACCCTTCCCTATCTGGGGAGCAAAACAGAACAAAGCTTAGTTCCTGGTCAAAATGATAGATGGAAAGTTTCATCCAGAGCTTCAGCCAGAGATCTGATGACAATCAGTGCCATAGTTACAACCCTGTATCATCCAGCCTTTGAGGGGACTTGAGGTAGGGAAAGCTGGTCTGTCATCTCATTCTGTATCCTTGTCTCTGTAATATAGGAGTGATAAACACTCCTATTTCTAAGACAGCCTAAAGGATCAGAACACTTCAGCACAACTTGCTGTTGAAAGGATTCAAGACATTCCATTTTAGCACACAACTCTCGTGACTATTTGTACAAGACACCTACTTTTAGATCTTCCAGATCACTTGTGAGTCCTTCAATGCACTCCAGCTTCTGATTGATTGACATCCTCATCTCCAGAATCTGGCTCATCAGATCTGATACAAGTCCCTAAAACAGTAAAATTGCGGTAACCTTGATTTTGTCAAGGCATACAATTCCAGTCTGTTAAAAAAAAGTCAGTGTCACGCGATACACATTTTAAATCTTCTGTCAGTAGCCAACTGGCATATCATAAGCAATGTGCAAGAAAGAATGAAGAAAGCTTACATAGTTCTTCATATTTTCATGAGAAGCCCTGCATCCTTAAAAACATAGTACAAACTATATACACACCTTATCAGTAGCATTGGTTTTCTCCAGAGAAGCAATAATTTGTTCAGCAGCCTTTAAATTGCACTCCAGTTTCTGAAGCTTTGCATCCTACAAAAAAAAGTGAGTTAAAAAAAAAGGTTCAAGTTACCTCTTGAGCTACCTAACATAACTTCACGAATTTGGGATAGAAAATATAATGGCAAATGACATAACTCCTTAGATCTACAGAGATAAATGCAGTGTTCCAATAACAGAAATTATGATCCCTCCACTCTTCTGCAGCTCTGAGCCACCCAAGGCTTATCTCTGCATGCTTTTCATGTCCTCAGATGTGTTTTTTAGCCACACAGGGGCTGAAGTGGGGTGGTGGGGCCACTTCCTCCTGGTTCCACTGTTCTGCCAAATAAAGGCCCACTGTTGGATGCTATCCACAATGACAAAATATAGTAACTGACAATCTAGATTCAGAGTGCCCTAATTATAATTATACATTATTGTACCTGCTGCTCACACTTTGACACCATTTCAGCAGTATGTTTCTCCAGCTCCATGATCTGGAGATCTTTTAGATGCTCCCTAGAAGAGAAAAGATGTGATGCTTTCTGGCAGCTTCATGTATAACAGACAGTTTAAGGTACTAACAAAGAATAGATGCTGCAGGTTAGTCTTATGCTGCATTTCTTCAGCAATGATTATGCTTTGAACTGGTATTAAATGTTCATTACTTTTATTGCTGGGAAAAAGCAAGCTCCTCATAATCCCACGGGGCTGCATTTATTCATCATTCACTTCTTTTGGCAAATCTCTTGCATAGAGAAGTTGTTTTGTAATGAGAACAATGAAATGTCTATTTTTAATATTGCTATAAGGAAGTTCACCCCAAGTTACTTTACTTTATTTAATCTTATGCTATTTTGGTTCTGGTGCATTATTATAACAGCAAATTTGATCTTTCCTTCTAACCATCTGTGGTATGTTTTATTAATTTTATTCAATAAAAGCTATAAACTCTGCAATAATGTTCAAAAACATGCATATTTAATTTTGGCCATTTCTAACTGATTATCTAAAAGTCTACTTATTAAAAGTCCAAATTTTAAAAATTCTCTTTTTTATATAATACATTGATAATGTAATAGCATTAGTTACAACTATAGTAGTAGTTTAGTAAGCGAGGCATTAGTGGTTGTTTTACATTTCTAGAAAGGAAAATATTTGAAATGAATGGAGAGATGGCATAACCAGACCTCTTTTTCATACACAAGGAAACGTAAGGTATTTTGCACACTGAAAATACCTTATTTGGATATTCCATTGCCCATATCCTCCCCAAAGAAAGGTATTATTATATCTCGATCACATTTCTGAGTTCCTTCCAAGTTAAGTTTCACATCAACTAAAAAGAGGAGATTTTCTAATCATACAAATAGAATTGTATTTTAGTTTATATGTTATATGTTTTTATTTATGTTATAGTTATAGAAAATAAAAACATTTTTTAAAAAATAGAAGGAGCCAATCCAAACTCAAGAATTGAAGCTAAAGAGCAAATGGGGGGTGGAAACCATTCAGCTGCCTAGCAGACTCAGATCGCTATGCTCATGTGACCCTGCTGTCCCTCCCTCATCATAGCATACATTCTTAGGCTATGGACCCCATCCTCTTTACATGAAGGTACTTTTATGCTGTGTTCAAACACTATTGCACTGAACCAGGTAGTGTCATAACAACTCAGCCACACGCTGGTCTTTCAGCTTTCAAATAGAATATTCAAAATAGAAAACTATTATGTATCTATTATTGTAAAGACAAATTCTGCACAACTAATTAAGATTTAAAGACTTATATAGTCACTGCAGCCAGAATTCTGTATCCTAAGAATTGGAAGAAATTGGACATACCGAAACAAGAGGAACTCATTGAGAAGATATGGGAAGCGGCAAAAATTGATATTCTATCAGAAGTGTTGAAAGACTGTTCAATACCAAAGCCAACTGAACAATGGGATTTATTATATAGGGCAAGGCAGGGAAGCTCAGGTTCCTTCCTGGACTGGACAGTGCAACCAATTGCACAATGCCCAGCAGAAGTGCTTCGTGGGCAGTACTTCTGCCCTGGCTCTATCATAGATACAGCAAATATTGGGCCAGCCTGGCTTCCCAAGTGCACCATCAAGTTCTGTAGTTATGCAGCTGAATTTTGCCCAGTTTCTGAAAGGCAAATCTATACATGGACATCACGAGATGGGCAATACTAAAATCAGATTGATTATATTCTCTGCAGCCAAAGATGGAGAAGCTCCATATAGTCAGCAAAAACAAGACCTGGAGCTGATTGCGGCTCTGATCATCAGCTTCTTATAGCAAAACTCAAGCTTAAACTGAAGAAAGCACTGGGCTAATCAGGTATAATCGAAACCAAATCCCTGATGAATACACAGTGGAAGTGAAGAACAGATTTAAGGAACTATATTTGGTGGACAGAGTGCCTGAAGAACCATGGATGGAGGCTCGAAACATTGTACAGGAGGCAGCAACAAAAGCCATCCCAAAGAAAAGGAAATGCAAGAAAGCAAAGTGGATGTCCAACGAGGCCATACAAATAGCAGAGAAGAGAAGGGAAACAAAATGCAAGGGAGATAAGGAAAGTTACAGAAAATTGAATGCAGACTTCCAAAGAATAGCAAGGAGAGACAAGAGGGCCTTCTTAAATGAACAGTGCAAAGAAATAGAGGAAAATAATAAAAAGGGAAAAACCAGAGATCTGTTCATAAAAATTGGAGCTATCAAAGGATCATTAATTTGTCCAAAGATGTACATGATAAAGGACAAAAATGGGCAAAAAAGGACAAAAACAGAAGCAGAAGACATCAAGAAGAGGTTACAAGAATATGCAGAGGAATTATACCAGAAAGATTTGGATATCCTGGACAACTCAGATAGTCTGGTTGCTGACCTTGAGCCAGACATCCTGGAGAGTGAAGTCAAGTGGGCCTTAGAAAGTATGGCTAACAACAAGCCCAGTGGAGGTGATGACATTCCAGGTGAACTATTTAAAATTTTAACAGATGAAGCTGCTAAGGCGCTACACTCAATAAGCCAGCAAGTTTGGAAAACTCAGCAGTGGCCAGAGGATTGGAAAAGATCAGTCTACATCCCAATCCCAAAGAAAGGCAGTGCCAAAGAATGCTACAACTACTGTACAATTGCACTCATTTCATATGCTAGCAAGGTTATGCTCAAAATCCTCCAAGGTAGGCTTCAGCAGTATGTGGACAGAGAACTCCCAGAAGTACAAGCTAGATTTCGAAGGGGCAGAGGAACTAGGGACCAAATTGCTAATATGCGCTGTATTATGGAGAAAGGCGGAGAGTTTAATAATAACATCTACTGTATTTCTACTTCAGTGACTACGCAAAAGCCTTTGTGTGGACCACAACAAACTATGGCAAGTCATTAAAGAAATGGGAGTGCCTGACCACCTTATCTATCTCCTGAGAAATCTATACGTGGGACAGGAAGCAACAGTTAGAACTGGATATGGAACAACTAATTGGTTCAAAATTGGGAAAGGGTTATGACAAGGCTGTATATTGTCTCCCTGCTTATTTAACTGATATGCAGAATACAGTACATCATGCGAAAGGCTGGACTGGATGAATCCTAAACTGGAATTAAGACTGCTGGAAGAAATATCAACAACCTCAGATATGCAGATACTACTCTGATGGCAGAAAGTGAGGAGAAATTAAAGAACCTCTTAATAAGGGTGAAAGCTCAACATCCAAAAAACTAAGATCATGGCCACTGGTCCCATCATCTCCTGGCAAATAAAAGGGGAAGATATGGAGGTAGTGATAGATTTTACTTTCTTGGGCTCCATGATCACTGCAGATGGTGAAAGCAGCCATGAAAATAAAAGACACCTGCTTCTTGGGAGGAAAGCAATGACAAACCTAGACAGCATCTTCAAAAGGAGAGACATCACATTGCCAACAAATGTCCGCATAGTCAAAGCTACGATTTTTCCAGTAC